AAGCTCTCAAAGTTGCGTGTGCTGGATTTGCCTTTTACTGTGATACCTGTTGTGTATTGCAGTAGTAGTCATGATAGATTAAAGTGATGCTTTTCAGGCTTTAATATGTACACAAGACACCTGGAGATATTGCTAAAATGCAGATTTTGATTTGATATGTCTGGAGTGGGGCCCAGGTTCTGCATTTCTAATAAGCTTGCAGTGTTGCTGTACTGTCTGTTTAGGGACTGTATTTTGAATAAAAAGAGATTAAAGGAGCCAAGAATGTCCAGACTAAGGCCAAAGAAACAACTTACATGAGTACATGAATAATGTTACATTTTTGAGGGACTGGAATTAGTTCAGGAAGCTTAGATCATAAGGGATAAGTGGGCATGAAGCATGTTGGAGGATGAGTCTGCAGAGGTTAAGTAGGGACAGATTATGAAGGGCATGATGATTTGCTAAGGAATGTTAACTTCATGATGGAGGATGTGGAGGGGCCATTTTCAGAAGTAGAATGTTTCATCAGATTAGTGCTTTAGAATAAAGAGATACATTATATTTTTATCAAGTTAAGTACTTGTGGCTAATCCTGATAGGGATTTCATATGAGTAGACTTATAGAGCTAAGCTGGGGAGAAGCATTTGAATATCCAGCCAGTATATGTATAGGCATAGAATCAAATAGGCAGAATGAAGAATGAAAAGAGAGTCAAAGTCCAAACTCAGGGGAATATGAACATTAACAGGGCAGAGGGGGAGGAGGACAAAGAAGATGAAGATGTGTCCAGAAATATAGAAAGAAAACAAGCAGTTTCATTCCCTCCTAAGTAGAGAGACTATTAAACAGTGTCATAAGATAGAGTCTGAATACTCATCACTGGTTTGTCAGTTAGAGGTTAGTTTTTTGTAACTTTAGCAAGAAATATTTTCAGTGGAGTGCTGGAGACAAAAGCCATGTTGTAAAATGAGGAGTGAAATGTAGATGAGGAAGTGGATTCCGGTGTGATCCATTATTTTAAAGAAATATTGGTTGAGAAAGTTTGTGAAGAGATGGGGGGAATTCTTTCTTTCCCTCTGCCCCGTGGCATCGACAAGATGGGCAAGTGTCGCGGTCTTCGTACTGCCAGGAAGCTCTGTAGTCACTGACAGGACCAAAAGTGGCATGATAAACAATACAAGAAGGCCCATTTGGGCATAGCCCTGAAGGCCAACCCTTTTGGAGGTGTTTCCCATGCAAAGGGAATTGTGCTGGAAAAAGTAGGGGTTGAAGCCAAACAGCCAAATTCTGCCATCAGGAAGTGTGTCAGGGTCCAGCTGATCAAGAATGGCAAGAAAATCACGGCTTTTGTACCCAATGATGGTTGCCTGAACTTTATTGAGGAAAATGATGAAGTTCTAGTTGCTGTATTTGGTCGAAAAAGTCATGCTGTTGGTGACATTCCTGGAGTCCGCTTGAAGGTTGTTAAAGTAGTCAATGTCTCCCTTTTGGCCCTATACAAAGGCAAGAAGGAAAGACCAAGATCATAAATTTTGCTGATGAAAACATAGTAAGAAATTTTCATATTCCAGAAAAAAAAGAGATTGGAGAAGAGTTAGGGTAAAAATGTTTATTTGCTTGAAGTATTGGTTCAGGAGAGTGCTTACAGAAAAGGGAAAATCAAAATTGGAGTCAGAAACTTGGCTATCATCTTCACTGTGTTCTTTTTAGTGTTCTTTCAAATCTGTATAATTATGAAATCCTGTCAACTTGACCTTGTGTTTTTATTTCTGTTTACTACTTGCTTCTCCATTCCCATCATCAGTGTGTTAGTTTCACCCTTACCATCCCTTGTTTGAAGTCTTGACTAGACCTTTTTGATCTTTTCCTCTTCTACTCCATAAACAAAACAAAGTAAGCAAAAAAAAATCACCAGGGAAAAAGAAATCCTATCTCTCACAGTCTTTGATAGAAACCATGGAGATTGTAGAAACTAAGGGATCTACAAATCTGACCCTGACACTCAGCTTTTTTTTTTTAAATCGAGAGAGAGAGAGAGAGAGAGAGAGAGAGAGAGAGAGAGAGAGAGAGAGAGAAAAAATTTTTAAATATTTATTTATTTTTTTAGTTTTCGGCGGACACAACATCTTTGTATGTGGTGCTGAGGATCGAACCCCGGCCTCATGCATGCCAGGCGAGCGCGCTACCACTTGAGCCACATCCCCAGCCCAACACTCAGCTTCTTAAAACTCCTCACTGACTTCTGGTCACCAACAAATGATGAAGGTCAAGCTTTTTAATATGATGTACAGCAGTAACCTAGGGATTTTTTTCCACCTTCATTTCCTGCCACATACTGCCAACCACTTTGATCTTTTAACACTAATAAGACTTTATAATTTCTCTTCTCTCCCTTTCCTACATACTTGTTTTTGTTTTTTCCTCCACACTCCATCATTTTGTATGTCTTGCAGTTTCCTTGTGGACCCTCTCCCCCGTTTCCTCTCTCCTGTACACAGTTGTTAGGTGCTCCTTTCTGTGTTTCTATAATATCATATAATCACTTTCTATGTGATTGACATTTCTTCAGTTTTCACTGTTCATATTAGATCAATAGGAATTTTTCTAATTCATTTCTGTCCTTGTTGCCTGGCTTACTGATTGTGGAGTTGATGCTTAACTCATGTTCATTGAGATTTGAAGAGAGTAATGCATGTATGTTGTGGCTTGTGACTGTGCCTGAGAGGAATGGTTGGATTTCACCAAGTGGCCTTTGATTGGGAAAAACATTCTATTTACAGTAGCTGGCAAATCACAAAGCATTGAGGCAGTAAGTGTGATAATATTTACAGTATGCTAAATACTCCTTTTAGACAGGAGAGAAGAGGTAGAAAATATAACAGGAGATACGGTTAGAAATATAAGTTGAGTGAAGATGAAATGAGTCTGGGATCTCATGCTTTAAGGTGTTTCTTCTTTCGCCGTAACAATGGGCAAATCTTTTTATTGTTAATCTGGGAAATAATACTAATTCTTGAATTTTGAGGAAAGGTTCTGTATCTTCTGGAATTATCAGATGTGGATAACTCTGTCTTGTTGTGCCACATTTTAATAATTTCTGTTTTTTATTAAGGTTTAATTACCTTCCTAAAATGGTACTGCCCTTTTTGAATATGTAAGTACTTTATGTCATTGTGTTTTCATGTCCTCAGACCTTGATGGCTTCTAGATTTTTTTTACTCAGAGATAATCGTTTAACAAGGCATTTCACATTATTTTTCTTTTAATATAGAAAATACTCTAATATTCACCTACTTTTATACCCCTTAAAGAACTTTATAACATTGCTTCCTTTTGGTTTGATAACTTGTTGCTCAGAATTGCTTGGGGAAATCTGTAAATCTGCAAATTTTGCTGTGCATATGCTTGCTTGTTCAGGTTATTTGTAACAATGTTAAAAGATTGATTTTACATCATTCATGAGAGGAAGTAACTCTTCATCCTTGCCTTTTGCTTATTTCCTTAAGCCAGCATCTAATTTGTGGTTGTAAGATCCCCAGTTGTATTTCGATATATTTAAATGTGATATTTTGAAATCATGGAAGTATATCCAGGGACTGAATATATTTGAGAAATAGACAAGTTATGTCAAAGAGGGGAATAGTGTATAGAGTTAGCAGCCATACAAAAGGGATGGGTCTCTTATTGTGTTTCTGTAGAGAAAACAGAAAGCTGTGGCTTTGCTGTAGCTGAAGAGAGAATTCTATTAATAAATCAACAATAAATGTTACAATGTAGTTTATATATAAATGCTAGGTTGCATGATAAACCAGCTGAATACTAGTCAAGTAAGTAGGAAATCCAGGACAATGAAAAACATCAGGAGGCAAAATAACCTGGAAATTTAATGAAGAAAATGGGATTTCAGTGAACTTTGAAAGATGAGTTAAAATTCAGGTTGATGGAATGTGGTTGTGGTGGTGTGTGGTGGGTTGCAGGTAGGGGCTTGAACTAAGATAGGGACAGCGAGAATGGTATACTTGCAGTGTAGGAATTAAAACTGGCACAGGAGATAAGGTTGAGAGGGTATGATTGAGAGGCTAAATTATTGCCACATTAGTTATGTAGGATCTTGAATGTCAGAGTAAATAGAGCATAAGGGGTTTAGGGGTGTACAAGGTGGTATGTGGGGGTAGATACGAGAAGAGGTGTATGTGTGACTATATTCTCTTTCAGGCAAAAACATATTTTAGTAGAGTATAAAATATAAGAAAATCTTCAATACTTAGAAATGCCCATTGTCCTACTCTTGTGTAGCATAGCATCAAATTAAGCCTTGGCTTGTTTTTTCTCCCTTTAATATTCTACTTGGTCATCCTGCCTTGTTATTTATTTAATAAAATATGTTAGTTTCAAATAACTCTGCCTATCTGCCCTTTTTGAATTAGTTCTTGAGTAAAGTTATACCTTTGCCAGAATGCCATATTTAACATGCCGTTTCTGATTCTTCTTGTTAAAGCATTTATGTCTTGAGAGCAGATGTCACAGTTTGTACAATTCTTTGGCTTATGTAGTCCCCTGTGGGCTATTCACGAGGGAGTTGGCTCTAAATATTGGAGATTTATGCTTTAGCCATAACACCTGTAAGCCTGGTAACTGTACAGTGACTGTAAATACCATAATTATCATGACTCTGTTTTTAAATTGCAAGAGCTGGTTACCCTGACTTATTTCATTCTCTCCTATTTAATCCACTGACTATATCATGAAGGAGACCCTGTATTTCCTTTTTCTCTTTTAATGAGTTTTTTTTTAATTGCTTCTCATTGTGGGCTGCTTTCTCCATATGTGCCATACCCTTTTCCTTCTTTGTACTTTATACTTTATTTTTCTGCTTTCTACGTATAGCTAGAATCTTTTCCATATACTGTGTCTTGTGTGAAATCTTTTCTAACTGGTTCTTTTTATCCTTTTTGGTCTTTCTTCACATTTCTTTTATACTTTGTTTGCCAGTAAGCACACAAATTATTTTAAATAATTCCTATACTTTTGATATGTTTGTTTTTCAAAATGGATTTCAGATTTCTCTTAGGCAGAAAAAGACTCTTTTCTTTTGGTGTGTTTCCATAATGTTTTGCCAACTTTGAGCATTTAGATATGGTTAATGTCTGAAGCTCAGTCTCCTCTCCTGAGCCCAGAGTGCTCACACAGCTCATGTGTGGAGAGGTACCTCACCTATGTTGAAAGTCCTCTGGTTCCAATACTTGTTGATTTTAATGATATTAAACAGTCCCTAGAAAGATATATATCTCTTTATCTTTCCCTCTCTCTCTCTCTTTTTTTTTTTTTTGATTAGTTTTGAGTAAATAAAATGTCATCAACTTAATACAGCATATTAATCAAATTGTTAAGTAATATTTATTCTGTGTTTACCTGCTACTAATAATTTTCTTTGCATTTTAATTCTTAGATTCTAAGGACTTGAAGGGTCATCAAGAAATAATTTAACTTGCTGTGCATTTTAAGTCAGGGTTTTAGTCAAATAAAATTTATAGAATGTCTAGCCTACATGCCTCTGTATTTATGTATATATATGTCATGTGTGTAATTACAAATACATTTTTTACAACAGATATATCAATATTTTTGAAGGAGAAAAAAAGCTGTGTTCTCTGTTGTGGGTAAGTCATAGCAAGCAAAAGTATAGAACAGCTGCTCTTACATCTTCTGTCTTTTCAGTTTCAGTGGACTTGAGCAGATATGTATTTAAAAAAATTGTTATATAAATATTCTGAGGCCTAAGTCACATCCTTGGCCATCTGGTAAGATTTTGTTTTAAAGCTTGCTGCCTGCTTTTGGGGGTCACCCATAGAGCTGCTTATATTGCCAGCATTTTGCTTTTCTTCAGAGTGACACCTTATTGATCTTTCTGCTCATTCTCTTCTCATTTCTTTTTTCCATTTGCATTCCTTATGAGATGATTTTGTTTTTTCATGGTCTTTGACATGAGTAGGAGAGAGAATGATTTGAGTGGCTACTATAATAGGGACTTTTCTTTTTCCCCCTAAATATGATCCTAGGGATTGAACCCAGGGCCTTGTGCTTGCTACGAAAGTGCTTTGCCACTGAGCTACATCCTCAGCCCTTTTAAAAATTTTGATTTTGATACAGGGTCTTTCTAAGTTGCTTCCCTTTCCCTAGACTTTTCAGCATCTGGGATTACAGGCATGTGCCACCACTCCTCAGCTGTATTATGGCTTCTTACTTGTAAAGATTGTTTGCTCTCAGATACAGGTTATTTTTACCCAGCATAGCAGCAAACCTGCTTGTATACTTTCCATTTCCTCTTACAAATTAGCATTAAAAACATGGGTCCATGGTTTGGTATTTATGTATGCATTCTATTACAATACAATTTTAATGACTGATAACTGCCTTCTTACTAGCTCTCTACTTACTAGTTTTGTATCCATCAAATCAAATAATACATTATTTTTTCCATATTAAACATACAGGAGTGACTGGGGTTGTGGCTCAGCGGTAGAGCACTCGCCTAGCATGTGCGAGGCCCTGGGTTTGATCCTCAGCACCACATAAAAATAAATAAATAAAATAAAGATGATATTGTGTCGTAAGAAAAACATACAGGAGTAAAGTCTCATTAGAAGTAAAACATGCCTTTATGATAAAAGTTTCTTAGGTCCTAATAGAAAATTGATTTCATGAGTATTTAGCATGTTATGCAGTTGATTTAAAACCTTGGTAGCTTACATTGTATTATACTTTATATTATCAGAGTATTTCTGAACAGACACCTTTCTCTCTTGCTTCTTTTTCAGTCTGACAACAACAGACTGCCATGATTTTTCATCTGATGATTTGGTAAAACTGCCACTTCTACAAATTCAGAAACATTGCAATTTTGGCTCATACAATTGAAGAAATATTGATTAGACCTCTTCCTTTGACAGGAATGCTACTGGATGACCATGGTAGGAGTCTGGGGTCACCCACCACTGTCCCTAGGTCATCTAGTAGAGCAAGGTTTGTGGCAGCTGCTGTTAAATGCATTCTTTCTGAAAATTATAATGATTTCCCCCATTACTAACATGTCTTCTAACTCCCAGCATCTTAGATATATTTGGTTTTATATATAAACATTTTAGTAATAGAAGTGATACTTACCTTTTAATAGTTCTTAGGATTTTCCTTTGTTAGAAATAACCATTGCCTTACCTTCTTGGAGGAACCTTTTTAAGTACATAGGAGAAAAAGCAATAATAAAAATTGCACAGAATAATTTCCAGGTACAGGACTATTTGTAGAGAAGGCAGAGTGGTTTATGTGCTTTGGAATAGCTCATTTGACACCTAACTTGTAGTTTTTCACTTTGGAGACATTCATAGTAGCTTCATTTCCAGATGTGTTCCTTCAAATGCACACATATATTATTTGTGATGAAACATTGTTTTTTTATCAGATGAACTAATATAATTTTGAGGAGATGATTGAACATATAATAAGAGTGGGTATATTCTAAGAAGGCCTTATATTGCTATATGTATTATATTGATGGATTGCCAAGCTTGCAATGTCTAGAAAAGTGCTGCACAAAAAATATAGTGCAAGCCACAAGTGTGAGCCACAGAAGGAAATTTTAGATTTCTAGTAGCTACATCAAAATATTTGAACCTGTAATCAGTATGAAAATTATTAATGAGAATTTTTTTGTACCAAGTCTTTGAAATCCAGCATGTATTTTACATTTAAACACATTTCAGTCCAGATTAGGCACATTTCTAATGTGTGATAACTCCATATGGCTAGTGGCCATTGTATTAGATTGCTCAAGTCTAGAGCATGCGGTGAGGTGAAACTATGGTAATTAGAAAATTGATGAAGGCCAAAGATGAACACACATGAAACTCTTAGGACCTACCTCATGAAGGGAATTTTGTATGAAATTGTTTTGTATGCATATTGTTTTGGGAGAGAATCAAAAATTGGTATGAAACAGAGTTTTGGTAGATGATGATGAAATTGTCTGGAAGTTAAGAATAGTAGAAATTCAAAAGGTGTCAGGAAAATAGAAAATGGCAGAACTTGACAATTACCAGTTTATTTTAAGATGACCAGAGTAACTGATTATCATTTTAAGAAAAACATCTTTTCCTACTAAGGGCTTTTCCTACTAAGGCTGTGTCGTCATTACAAAGTTTGAAGGAGAAAGGTAGTCATTCATAATGACACCCCAGAGAAACTATTGAGATCAGCAGATAAAATTCATTGCAGAGGCTTAATGTGGGTAGCAAGGAGGCAGAGAGGATGATTTACACTAATACAGTAGAGAGGAAGAGTCTGAGGTAAATGATTGATTTTTATGGAGTAAAAACCGGACAAAGTTCTTGGTGACCTAAGAGCAAATGAAAGCTCATGCAGAATATGGTATCAAAATTTATTGCTCAGGCAGTGACTAAGAGGGCCTTGTGTAGAGTCATTGGCCATAGAATATAAATGTAGTTAAGACCTGACTGGACCACTTAACTTTGTTTTCATTGGCAAGTTACAACCACCCAAGCCTCAATTTCTTCATCCAAAAAAATGGGCAGAAATAATATCTACTTCATAGAATTGTATGAATTAAATACAGAATCTGCATGTAGTGACCTTGACTAGTATGACAGATTTCCTGTTATTATTTTTAGTTGGGGACATCAGAGGGGAGAAAAGAGTGACTATTATGTATTTTTGGAATGTATATTCACACTGTCTCTCCCCTTAAAGCAGTTTTTAAGAAGAGGAAGGCCCCCATCTACAGGAAAAAAAACCTGTTTGAGTAGTTAGGATAATCGTTTTGTTTCATAATTTCCTCTGATTTTCTGACATTTTCTGTAGCATCTTTCAGATCACATTATATATTTTTCCTACAAGAAACCTTTGTCCTCCAGTATATTGGTATGATCATTGAGTATCTCAACAAGATCCAAGGAAACCATGTCATTGTTACTCAGGAAATACCGTTGTACTTGAGTGTTTCTCTTGCAATTTTTTCTCTGTTGAATGGAGTAATAAACACTTTATTTAAGGGGGGAACATTTTTCAAGATTTGGTTAAACCTCTTGATCAGTAGTTGATGAACATTATTTTACACATAAATTATATTAGGTGAAGAAAGTACTTTCTAAATCTCATTTTGTGAGTTGTGTTGATAATAAAAATGAGAAGTCTGGGATTGAGTATGTGGACCTAATCACCTTATCTCTCTAGGACATAGTTGGGATTGTTTTTCAAACTGTGATTTGAGGACCTTTCATTATTAGAATTACTTTTGAGTAGTAGATAAAAATGCAGATTCTTAGGCTACATTTTTGACCTACTGAATCAAACTAATGGTAGCGCCAAGAATGTTTTATTTCACACTCAACTGTAGCTGTTGTACATCAATCATATGCATTTGGAGAACCACTGGAAAGGATGGCTCTTAAGATCTGGTTTGGTTCAAGCAAGCAGCTACTCATATTATTATTGGATTAGGAGTTGTGTAGGAATGATGGTATCTATTTCTGTTAACACTGTAGGATTGTTGTAAGGATCAACTAAGATTTTTAAGTTTGTAAAAATAGGATTAAGTGAAAAGATATTTAAATTTAGACTTCTGTAGATTAAAATCTAAGTGGTAGTGACTTATTAATAATGGTTTCTGTACTAGTTGAGTTTTGGTGAATCTTAGTTCTTTTTTTTTTTTTTTGAATCTTAGTTCTTATTAAATAGCTTTTGGTGCATGATTGCAGTCCACAAAATTATGTGTTTTTAAATATCCCTATCCCCTTTTTAATTTTTTTTTGGTTTTATTAGTTGCATAGAAGCTAAGTAGAATTATAGATATTCAATTTAGATGAATACAGTCTCCCTCTCTATCCATGGGTTTTGCCTCTGTGGATTTAACCAAACACGGATTGAAATGTATGTTTTTTTTTTTTTTTAATTGCTTCTGTACTAAACATTTGCAGACTTTTTCCCTTTGTCATTTCCTAAACAATCCAGTATAAGGACTATTTAAATGGCATTTGCATTGTATTAGGTATGTTAAGTAACCTAGAGGTGATTTAAAGTATGCAGGAGAATATGTGTTGGTTATATGAAAATACTATATCACTTTAAATAAGGGAGTTGAGAATCTCTGGATTTTGGTATCTTCAGGGGGTTCTGAGGTTTTTTTTGGTACCAGGGATTGAACCCAGGGGTGCTTAATCACCAAGCAATACTCCTAGCCCTGTTTTATATTTTTATTAGAGATAGGGTCTTACTGAGTTGCTTAGGGCCTCGCTACATTGCTGAGGCTGGGTTTGAACTCATGACCTTCCTGCTTCAGCCTCTGGAGCCACTGGGATTACAGGCATTTGACACTGAGCCCAGCTCTTTGTGACTCTTAATTGTTTAAAGGAGGTTATCCAGATTTAGGATTATTTATAATCTATGTTTAATAACCCTTCTCTATCAATTAACCTCTTCTGCCCTCAACAAATAAACAAAAACACCAACACAGAACAAAAAGCCACTCCATCATGACTGTACTTTTTGGAGATAAAATATCCTCTATTTTCTCCATTTTCAGAGAGTACAGGCTGTTATTGAGCATCTAGTTACAGTGTTTCATACTTATAAATTTTCTTATTTAATTCCTATACATAGTTAATAGAACCCCTTTTTATTTCTCTCTGGTTATGAAAAAAGTAACTTATTAAATATGTAGAGCCTCAGCTAAACAGCATTATATTAGAGAATTGGATTTGTGGATCTGGAATGGGCTCAGAATTCAACTTTTTGTCTGAATATTTTTATGAAGGTTGTGCAGGGCCCACACATTGAGAAACATTGCTCTTGTTTCTTGATGCCTCCAGAGACACAGATTATAGGTACTGACTTTAATGTAAGTTGGAGATAATATAATTTTGGCTTGAACATTTAAACGTTGGCCATCACAACGCCATGTGTGTTCATGTGTATTTTCCACGGGAACTCAAGATGATATTTATAGAGATGTCAAATGAAGGGACAAACCCACTATCTGTAGGTCATACCTTATAAGAAATTGGTTTGATAAAACTCATTTTATTTGTTTATATCATTGTTCTTCCTTTCCTCAGCTAGGTATATACCATAAATTTCTTATGTGTGTTTAAAAAATTATAATATTAAAGACTGAGCTCTTAGACTGGCATTTAAGTATATAATTCTCATTAGCCTATCACTGTCCTTGTCTTTATCAGACTTACAAGGTTTTAAATACCTGTAGGTATGTAAGTTCCTGTGGGCTTTTATTGCAATTGTTCCCGCTTCTTAATTTGTCTTTAAAAAGTAAAAGTGTTCTTCACTGGAAACTGGAGCAGGTGGATGGATGTAAGTGATAAATGGGAAGAGGGTGTGTGAATTCCACCAGGAATTGGTTTTCAGATTTAGTAAAGACTGTGGATTAGAATTGTTGACCCTTGACGCATCCTCTAGCCAGCTGCTTAACTGAGAACAATTCTGATGGATACAGTTGTTCTTTCAACTTCATTTTTGTTGGCTTCTGTCTTTTGCTCCTGTCCCTTTCCCATTTCCTCAGCACATACATGCATCCTTGAGTATGAAAAAAAAAGAGTATTATTATTTAAAGCTGCTGTCTGTGTTTCAAAATTATTTTGTTTTCTCTAACATATATCTTTATCTCAGGCTTCCATTCTGAGGGCAGACTTGAACTAAAAAAATTGGCCAGCCATGGCCTTATTTAGTTTCTAGCATTCCAAAGTAGTTTTTGACTTTGAATAAAGTACATTATCACTTGAACTTCTTTGAGTCTTATTTTAGTTTCTTTCAGTGGTCTAGAAATATGACTTTTTTTGCTTCGTTTAAATGTTTTCAAATAAAGATTGAGAACAGCCCCAATAATTATTAAAGTTTCTTTTTAAGAGAATGATGGATATAAACATTTCTGTGTAGAAGAAATGGTGGAATGGCATTCAAGATAGGCTAACAAAAGTTACAGAATTCTTTTCAGGACA